TTTATTATAGCAGGTGTTTGAGTCACATGATTCTAAAGATGTTGGAGGTGACTTCAATAGTGTTTCTTCTACAGGGTCGCTCGCCGTATATCTGGCTCTCATGGTTTCCAGAGAACTTGTAGTCTGCCCTGTACGTTGGGTCTGACCATCATTATACCAAGCCTCCAGGTAATCATTGATAATTATATTTATATTATTCTAAAATTATTTTAACAAGTTATATTTGATTATTAAACAATAAATTTATATGACAGAGATATTATTTATTTTAAATTTATACTATAATTTATACTACACAACAAGTTTTTTTTATAATTTAAATTGTCTAAGCTACAATTTTATTTTAATTGATAATATTATGATATTAACGATATGTTGTTAACAAGATTGCATTTAATTGCAAGCGTTAGCTTGCTATTTATAAGCATCAAGACTCACAACATATCAAAAATATTATACACACATGATCTTAATTAAATGGTTTGAGAGGATACCCACTGGCAAGGTGACTATATGGTAGTATAACAATTATTTTTTAGAATGATTTTTCAAGAACCAATCAAAATTATTTACTTTAGTATAAAAAATCATGTTTTTTATCATCTAACTCTTTGAAATTCTTGTAATTTTTCTACAAAAATCTTTATAAATTTATTTAAAAATACTCGATATGTATTTTTTATTTATTCAATTATCATTATTTTAATTGCTCTTGGATTTACTCTTTTTATTTATATTGAAGATTATGATTTACCATTACTTTTTTTAAAAATTATTTATACAATCTAATTTTTTATTATTTTTATATCAGGATATCTTATTTTTATTATTTTTAATATTTTTCTTTGGTATTATTTTATAAAGAATTATCCTGAATGATTTATCTACTAAAGATAAATATTTATTTACTAAGTATTTTGTTTAGAATTATATTATATTGGAAGTTACGCTATAAGATTTTTTGTTAATAGCAAAACTGAATTGCTCGTGTAGAATATAATATCTTATAAATGTGAATAGTGGTTTTACTAGCATTAGTTTATAGTTGATATCAATGATAACAATAATACTTATTATTTATTTTTATTTTTAGATTCATGCTGTTTTGTAAATTCTCTTTCTCTTTATTGAAAAACTTTCAAATAAACTTTTTTCTGATAAAGAATTCAACAAACAAATATATAAAATGACAACTTCTGATATTGCTAAATATTCTTATTTGCATTTATTTGAAGAAAAATATCATTCAATAATTGCTTTAGAATTAAAAGAAGGTCTAACAATTAGAAGAACAACAGAAATTGCTTTACAAAATATAGAGATATTAAAAAAAAATAAAGTTTGTTGTATGAAGTTTGATGAAATTCAAGCAATTAGGATTTTTCATGAATGGGACGATGATGGTGGTGAATTATTTGGTGTTAAAGAATTGTTCTTTTATTTAAGACAATATTATTAGAACTACAGATTCTTGTAATATAATTTTATTTATTTTTTATTATTTGTATATATTTTATATATTATTATTTATAATATTTTTAATAAAATTATTATTTTTATTATGTAAAATTTGTCTTTGTTTGCTTTGTAAATTTAATATTATTGTTATTATTTATAAATTTTAGTTTAGAGACTTTAATACTATGAATAAGTGTAGTATGCTATTTAAAAGCAAATAAGGCGATAGCTGAAATTTGTTTTTAGAATAGCATTCTGAAAGCAAATAAGGCATAGCTGAAATACACTTGAGGATAGTATTATCACATCTATTTATTGACTTAATAATAGATGTACTTAATAGTTTCTGTTACAAATTGTTTATTAAAATTATAACTATTTCAAACTTTTATTTTATACAGATAATTCTGTTATAGAACTTGAATTATTTAATATTCTATAGAAATCAGATAGATATAAACTTAATATAACAATATTTTATATTCTTTCTATATACAAATTAAACTATAGCTATATTTTTTAAGGTTAAATTTACTGCAATTCTATTTATATTATAATTTAAAAATTAAATAGTTTATATTTATATAGGCTTACAATAAGTAATATCTAAATATAATATTAATTAAACCTTTTTATTTTTTTTATAAATATACTATATTACTCACTATAGTATATTTTAATCAACTTTATTTATTTATATAATCTGCAAATAATCTTTTATAAAATTGATATCTATTAAGATAGCAAATTTAATAATTATACTAATAATTAGCTTGTAATTATTTTAATATACTATATTTATTATTTAAATTTTATAATATATACAATTCAAACTATATTTTTTTTGATAATTTTTTAGTTAAGTTACTAATTTAGTAATATATCTGAATAATATACTATGCTTATATTTATATTTTTTAGTTATTTTAAAATTAATTTCAATAATAATTTTAAATTTTTACTTATATTTATTAGCAAGTTGCTTGGTTATATATCAACAATAATTATAAAATATTTAGCTATATATATAGTTTTTAGTTATTTACTTTAAAGTTTTTTATATTAAAATTCTGCTTAATAATTTGCTTACTTTATATATCTTGCATAAATATAACCTTTTGTACTCACTAGTATGCTATTAATATAATTAAATTAGTACTATTTTTTATTAAATTATAAAGAGTTTGCTATTTATCACCGCCAGTGATCATCATTGGTATATAATTAGCCAATTAATTTTTAGGATCAGGTATAATATGTAGATTAGTTTTGTGTAATAACAACAAAGAATTTTTTAAAAAATTAATTATATCTCAAAATTTTGTTTATGAAACCACCTTTCGGGCTTTAATAAAAAAAATTTCTTGCAAAGTTTTGCTATAATTTTTGTTTAGCACTACTATTAAACTCTTACTCTTACCTTAATATCAAAAGTTAAAAAGTTTATATACTATATCTAATTATATATTGTAGATTACCGGTAGTGATTTGAAATATTTTTTAAATTATAAATATATTTAATTTCTTAATATTTCAAAATTTGATTACTAGTTTATTTTAACTAACAATAAATTTATCTAATCTTGATTCTTCAATTAAATCTATCTTTAATATATATTATTAAATTCAAAATCTTTAGTATATATTATTAAATTCAAAATCTTTAGTATATATAAATTTATAGTTTATCTAACTTCTATTTTTTTAATCAATACTTTCTAGTTTTATATCTCTATATTAATCTTTGCTAATATTATATTATCTAACAAAACTACAGCTTTATTTACTATTAAATTTCTATTATACTTTAACAAACTTTTATTTAAATTCTATATTGTATTTCTAGATCTTAAACTAATATTTACAGTATACTTATTAATCATCTTTTTTATCTACTTTATTTTCTCAGCCTCAACTTTTATTTTATTTAATTGCTATATAATTTTAAATTAAAATTATAATATCTAAAATAAATCAAATATCAATTTAACTATTACAACTTATTTCTAAACCCTAAATTTAAATGAGTCTTGGTTATTCTGATAGGTTTAGGCTGCAGATAACTATGTTATTATAATATTGTATCTAAATCTTTAGTCTTAACATTCTCTAGATATAAGGTTTAAATATAATTTTTTTCTTGTATATAAAGAAACTCAATTGAATTTCAATAAAGTTAGAGGCATGGCCTCATCGTAAAAATTAAAAAAAATTTACTAGCTAATTTATATTTAACTAAAATTTGAATTTTTATATTTAACTTTTATTTAACTCTAAAATTGCACTTTAATTCTAAAAATATAGACAATAATTACTACTAGTTATTTGTATTAAATTTCAAATAATATAACTTGGTAATATATTTTAATATATTATATATTTTTTACAATTCATTAATCTAAAATTTAATAAAACTTTTTAAATTTTTTAAAGTTATAATGTAGTTTTATTGTATATGCTTTATATAAACAATTGATTTACTTACAATGGGTTTAGTATCTAAAATTTTAGAAAATTATATTTTATATATTTACTACGTATTTGAAAAAAAGATTATTCAGCAAGATTCGTATAATTTCTAAAGAATACAGTAAATATAATGCCAATAAAAACTTTCTCACACGTATGGTTGGCAATTGCCGATGACTAACGCTAAAAAGTCGATTTGGTAATGAAACGGGTTTAAACCGGTTTTTTTATTATTACCAAATAAACCTAATGTTAATCTGATCATACGTAGCGACAATTCTTGCTGGGATTTATCATAATCTCAACAACATTTAAATGATAAATTATTAATATCAATACCGATTCATGGACTTTAAATTCCAGAAATGGACAGTATAAAAGCAATTATCTATACATAATTGTTATGACGGTGATGCATTACTTGATATATTAGTGTAATTGATAGATGAATACTTCTTGACCTTAACGTTATGAGTAAATGACTTTTTTTAAAAAGAAAACAATATTAATAATTATGATTTTGTAATTGCGGAAGAATCAGTTCTTGAAAGAAAGCCGATTATTACGGAAGCCGAATAAGGTATTCAATTCTTTGAATATTAATGGTTTAAAGAATAATCCAATCGGAAACAATTATGGACTATCCGTGACAAATACTTTAAATACAGTAAACGTATGATACGACAATGTGATCAATAAGAGAAGTTTTATTTGGCAAGTTATTAATAATTGGATTCATTTTGTTTAGAAGGAGAAACTAAAACCGTTAGGTTCTATTATTAAGTAACAAGAATTTAAGTTTATCATTAATACGCGGATCTGAATTAAAGTTTAAATTTTATTAGTGTAAAGTACACAGAGTTGAATTAACCTTTGAAAAGAAAAATAAGATTGGTTCGCGTACAGTAAAGCAAGCACAACACATTATCTTTTTATTTTCCTGTAATGTCGAACAATTTTAAGCATGCTGGAAAATTTTTCACGCATTAAAGAAAATGCTATGTACCCTGATTTCTTTCCTTATCAACTATACAAAGTTAAATTAATACGGTGAAACTGGTCGTGTTGATAATTCTATAAATATTTTTTGAATGGGGTTATACAGTAAATGTAGTAAATGTGTAAGGGTATTCATTCTTATATAATCCAAAAATTTTCATAATGGGATCACAAATATTTATAAATAATAATTAACGCGTTAATTTATTTGAAACTTGGAGGTATAAGATAGAAAGAAAAAGCACTTGTATGTAGGTTCGGGTTTGAAATTGAAATAGCATATGCGATAGATATTCGATGTACATAATTAATATACACATTCGATATACACATTCGATATATACATTCGATATACACATTCAATATACATATTCGATAATGAATTCTCAAATAATTTAGAAAGGGAGATATAAAAGTTAAGTCCGATTATCTTTGTTGGGAATTTCTCATTATAGTAAATTAAGGCTATCTCCGAGAATGCTTTCAAATCTTTGGTAGATCGTTTTAAAATAATTCAATTAAAATAATTCAATTGCTTTTCACGCATTTTAACGGAATCGTTCAACTAATTAATAATCCGAAAAGTTGTACAATAACCTGATCGTCCATAGTCCATAGTACTATCTTGCAGAATTTGTCATTTGATTATTTTAAAGAGGTTGAAATGGAATTTCAACTTTTCATTTGTGAATTTACACCAATTTACACAAATTACTAAAACCTTAAACCATATAGCGTTTACATTCTTGGATTAATGAAAAAAAGAGACTATCAAAGAAGGAAAAAGAAAGTTCACGGGCGTTTTATGCAGTGCATAGCATTTCGTTCACTGAAATGGGCGCCTGGACTGTTTTTGCATATAGGCGCCAATTGTGTATTCGTACCTTTGTCAAAAGAAAAGCATGGCGCACTGAGGAATGGACAATAAACAAGGATTAATCTAAATTTGGGTTAATTCGATCGATTTAATAGTAATTATTGCGAATAAATATCAAACACTTTTGAATGATAAAAATTTTTTTTAACATTAATATTGCACAGTTGTACTCTTGAACGATTTTCCTATAACCAAATTTAGATATTAAAGGTTGAGTCAATATGCATCATTATGCAGGTATATTGAAATAGTGAATCGTGATTTAAATTCTTTGACAATCATCGTCAGCATGCAGGAATCGACCATTTAAGATAAAGAAATCTCGTTCGATTTTATCAAAAATAACTTTTTATAGATTGGTCGTGGAACGAAATATCGTTAATGAGAATTTTTGCAGTTAAATTGTCCGAAAGATGATTAGAAGATAATTAAAAAACATTAAAAATAATTAAAGACGATTTAAAAATAATTAATGATTAAATGACTAAGAATAAAATAATTAAAATGATTTATTAAAGTATAACTAGTAAATAGTGTCATGAGATCTCAAAATTAGTATCGCTATTAGTATCGGTATTAATATCGATATTAATATCGATATTAATATTGATATTAGATAATCAAGCCTATTGAGTAAATTAGTATTATTTTCAAACATTCTTTTTCATTCTTTTTCATTCTTTTTCATTCTTTTTCATTCTTTTTCATTCTTTTTCATTCTTGCCGATTGATGCCTTTTTTTTTTTTACCAACATTTACTAAAAAAATCAATTATTTATCTTACATTTCATTATCGTTACACATTTTGGATTTATATAATTCACTTTATTTTTTTTCATTTTAATTAAATAATTAATTTCAAATTTTTTTTTTGTTTATGCTCAAGTAATTCAAGTAAATAAAGTAAATTTACCAGTTAAGAATCAAAAATTATCCTGAATGGCATCAATGATATTCTCAAAAAAAAAAAATAAAAAATAAAGAAAACGAATTAAAGGTTTCAATCGAAATTCTATCGAATCTATCGAATCTATCGAATGTTGCCACATGACATGCATAGAACAGTAGATCATTTAAATAGAAGCCTGAGGCATCGATGTCAAACCTTAATCTGCGCCATGTACGTACTTAAATGCGTTATTTGTGATAATCTTACGTAAATGAGTAGATCTTTTAAAGCACTAACCCTGAGCGACGTTCATTGTATGGTTCTTGTAAGATGTACAGACGATTAATATTGAGAACCTGCCTCGCAGATTAAGTGAAGCTAACATCCAAATGTCCAATTAATGTAATTCGAAGAACATTAAAAGACCCATGCGTTTTTTATTGCAGTTATATGACGTTATTACGAAATCACATGGATCATTATAATTTCTTCAATTGATCGATTATAAAAAAAATTTAAGTTTTACGAATTGCTTTTTGATCTTCAAAAATGCATGTTATACTCAAAATTAAATTATTACCTATTTATTTATACGATTACAGATCAAATAATGATCGGTTATATAATGCTGACAGGGGGAAAGAGAAAAAAAGTTTTAATAAAACAGTAAATCAACAAAAAAGTTGTTTATAATTCGTTCTCACAGGAAGGTGAATCACCAATCATAATGATAAAATGATTAAAAAAAAAAAAAAAAAAAAAATTCAAATGTTTTTAACACCTCTAGAATCGATTTTTTTTTCCATTATCATTTATGGAAATTCTTATGAGAAGACACAAACACACAAAAGGTAACTATTTGCTGTATTAGGACAATGTGTGAAAGGTGAATATGAATGCTTACATATTGTTAGTTTTTATCTGGAAAAACATTTATCGTGGGCTTCCATGATTTACTAAATTGTTTATTTGTTTATGTCCTTCCTTAATAGAACCTCTGAGAAGCTTTCCCTCGTCGTTTGTGAGATGATACATGGAAATTAAAAAGAATTTGAGATTATTTTTATTTGTTTGGTTTTGGATATAGTGATATTGATATGCGTATTTTAATAATTTAATATGTTTAATGATTAATAATTTTTTTAAAAAAGATCAAAAGAAATGAATGATATATCTTAGATGAAGATTGAAACATTTAAGGGGTGTTCGATGACTTATCCCATGATTAATTGTGTCATGTAAGTTACATTCGAAATTTAGCCCAAGTCAAAATTGCATATCGCCAAACAAATAGCATTTATGTTCGTGGATCTTATTCATTGGATGCTATAAATGAATTAATTAGAATTAATAATAATAATAGATGGATTATGTGGGTCGAATACCAAAGACTTTAATAATAGATAATAATAGATGGATTATGTAGGTCGAATACCAAAGACTTAATAAATACCAAGGATTTAATAAGTCTAGGTATATAAAAATAATTGCCAATGAATTTATAATTCAGTTATATAATTCGGTTATACAATTCGTTTATATAATTCGTTTATATAATTCGTTTATATAATTCGTTTATAATTCGTTTATAATTCGTGTTGTTATTACTAATATACGATAATTTGGTTTCTAATCAAATCATTATAAAAAATCTAATAAAAAATTCTGATAAAACTTTCTAGAATTTTTTTTGATCTACAAGTTATTTATGTGCCATATAAATCAATTATTTGTGACATAGACATCTCAACGATGATTAATCTTGTAAATTGATGCACCATACGTTTTAAGGATTTTTTTTTCGAGTTTAACTTTTTAAAGATCAGCCATATACCATTAATTAATGCAGATCAATTAATAATAATTTGGTTAAGAAACATAATGAATTAAGAATCGTTGAATAATTAGAACCTTTTTAATAATCATCGTACGAAATACAGTCAACTTTCTGTAAATGCACCCCCTTGGGACTAGCATTTAGAAGGGGTATGCATTTATTAGTTATAGAGGATATTTTATGAAATACTCTATATATGCTTTGAACTAAAGATTAGTGTGTATTTAGAGAGGGTATACATAGTATGTGCATTTATGGAGGGTGCATTTATGGTAGTTGGAATACAATAATTGGTAGCTAGTAACAAAAAATACAATAATTGGTAACTAGCAACGAAAATACAATAATTGGTAATTGGTAGCTAGTAACAAATAAACTCATCAAAAGCTTACTATATTAAGATATCAAGAAAAGCAATATTTTAAAAGAACACGTCTATCCATAGTGATATCCATGGTAATGCCCATGGGAACGTCCATGGGATGTTCATGGGAACGTCCATGGGATGTTCATGGGAACGTCCATAGCAATGTCCATGAGAATATCCGTAGAAATGCCATAGAAGACACATCAAAATTAGATCGAAAATACAACTTATTGTACTACATATAATGCGCACGCTAGCTCAATGAAATGTAGCATTGTTTGTTTATTTAATAATATTATTTTTGAAGGACAAATTAAGATGCATGAATAAATTATTTAAGCTTCAGAGTTACACTAGTGATACATTGAACACTTAAATCCATAATACTGTGGAACCATAAAACCTATGATACTGTCTGCAGACTTTGATAAATTTATGCAATGCTGTCTACGGCCGTAATTTATTTATGAAAAGCTAAGAATTTTAAGTTTTTTTAAGAACACAGATTCGTTTCAGAATGCAAGGTAATTCCACATTGTTATTTATAGTTATGCCTTACTTTGATTTTTAAAGAAAGTCATTATTATTAAATACGCATATTGATACGTACTATATATTGATATTATATACTAATATTGTATATGGATTAGTATATTAATATTGCATACGTATTGATATTGTACATTAAATACATTTAAAAATAAATTTAAAAATAAATTTAAAAAATTTTATCAAAGAATATAGTACGTAGTTACTATAGTTACTATATTCAAAATGTATACGATTGACAAATAAATATCAAGCTTATCGGTTTGCTCCGTAATTCCGAGTCTTATCATTACTCCTAACTTTAATAATTCATAATCAGGGTCAAAGGAAAATCTAGGAAATAGGAAAGATAGGATGCACACCATTACATGAGAAAGGAACATGGCTTCACGAGAAAATAGTGCATTTAAATTTTATTAAAAGTGAATAAATGATAACAAATAACATCATTGAATAAATTAATTTTCGTTTTAAAATTTATAATTTAGTGACTTTAGTATTTTTTTTTTACAACTCATTCTATTCATCTATTATTCATCTATTCATATATTCATCTTCTTGTTATGTAGTTATGATAGCATTAAACTAAATTATTAGCTGTAATTAATAAATGATACCTAATAATTGATACTATGAGTTTTTTTTTTATATCATTACATTAAAATTTTTTTTTTTCATAACAAATCACAATTACGCATTTTTTTTGAGATGCATTGTATGCGTCTTTTTACGGAACCTAATAAGGAATAGATGTATTTATTGTAAATGAACATGATAAATTAAGTTCGGTTGTACATATTTCCATGTTTCCACATTTAACCGAAAACCCGTTTTAAAATTTAGAAAAGAATTTAAGGAATAGTGTTATAAAATAAATTTGGGTACAAAACTTCTATTAAAATAAACGATGTTTACAGTAACAGTAAACTTTTGATGGATGATCTAAATGTTTGGAGATTACATATTACCTTCGTGGTGAAAGGGTGGGTCCAGAAGGCAAACACTTTAGATATGTAAAAATTCCTATTGGATACTTAAATTTCGAATTCGGATCTTTTTATAAACAAGCATATATAGAAAACTTAAAAAATCACTTGTTTCCTATATTTATACTTACTACACAATACACTGTATACACGAATCTCTTTATTTAGAAACTTACATGCTTGTAATGAAAAACAAAAGGGATAGTGTATCATAAAGGTAACATTTACCTTTCTTGATGTTTAGATTGATAATAAGAATTTTCCCATTACAATATAAAAAATCGTCTATTTTTTAAGTCTTATTTTTTAAGTCTTATAGTTTTAATTGGTTACGGTCAATATCAATATTTTAATATTTTAATATCAATATTTTTACGTCAACATGTTTACGTCAACATGTTTACGTCACCATTTTTTACGTCACTATGTTTACGTCACTACTTTTACGTCACTATGTTTACGTCAACATTTTTTCATCAAGATTTTTTCGTCAAGATTTTTACTCAAGACCTTAGATTTCAAGATTTTTACTCAAAGATTCTATTCAAGATTTTACAAAGTTTTCACAAAGATTTCACTAGGATCTTACTCAAAGATTTTATTCAAGATTTTATAAAGATTTCACTAAGATCTCACAAAGATTTCACAAAGATCTTACTCAAAAATTTCACAAAAATTTCACAAAAATTTCACAAAGATCTTAAAGATTTACCGTAAAAAAAAAAAAAAAAAATCCCAATAATGTGTTGTTTATTTGATTGCTGTACAGAGAAGGGACGAGAATTACAAGTACCATGTTAAATGAATTATAAACTCTAAATTGATGCTAAATTATTTACAAATTTATCTCTGATTTACGATATAAAAAAAAAAAATCAAAAAAAAAGAAAAAAAGAAAAAAATATAGATTTGTTTGAAAAATGTATCTATTAGAAAAAAAAAATCAAAATAAATGCAATCAAAATTAGATACGATAAATGCTTATATTTTTATCCTATATAGCATATATATATATATATATATATATATATATATATATATATATATATATATATAATTCATAATGTGCTATTTCTATTTCAAAATATTGAATTTAATATTGAATTTAATATTTAAATCCATTTAACTTGCATAAAGAATTCCCATAGTTTGCTAGCCTTATTAACATCAATACGAAGAAGTTTTTGTGCATCACTCTTTCTAAATGGAAGTGATTTTTGTGTATATCTTCGAGCTGATGAGACTAATGTATTTTTAGATGTTAAATATTGAACTGGTGTAAGTCGTAATGTTGATGCAACATATGCTTCTTTTGAATGTAAAGAATTATAATGTGGTAAATGTGAAATTGTAAGTGGTTGTCCTTTCCAATTGACTTTTGGATTAATACGTTCAAGTAAGTTCGTATCAAGATCTAATTGTTCAATATTTTCCATTAATTCTTCAAATTGCATTGGTGGTGGTGGTGGAATACGAATAGTTTTTGCTTCTCCTTCAATCGCAACTGGTGTAAATGTCGCTTCTAAAAGTCCTCGGTCTGCCATTACTCTGGCAAGACTATTTCCTTTACGTTTACGTTCTGATACTGTTCTTTTGGTCTTATTTCGATGTTTAACTCGTTTTTTACTTAATAATTTGCTATTATTTCGTGAACTTGATTCTGATGTTTCCTCAGCTGATGAAAATATATCTGAAAATAATAATGGTGTACTAGGATCTGATGCTGGTGGATCATCGCTATGTAATAACGCTTGAGGATCTTCTTTAAATGGTGTAAAAACATCCACCTTTAAAGTTATTCCTGGTGATGATTTTGATGGTGCTTTAATAGGATAAGGATTCTTTCTAATTTTACGACGTTTATCAACCAATTTCTTAATAGAACCCCTATCATCAATATTTGTAGATTGTGTTTGGTTGGGCGTTGAAGTCACACGACTATTGTTGGGGCATATGGAGACTGCATCCTTTGTGCTACCCATGATGTCGGAGCTTACGGACAAATTTCCAGTTGCAAGCGCAGCAGTAGTTTTTGAGACTCTAAGAGACATTTTTTCTGAAGCTTTAATTAAATCCATAAGTTCTTTTGGAACGTCACATACTCTCATCCTAAATCTATGTTGACTTCCTGGTGCATAATTGGTGATTTCTATTTTTGATAAATCCATTTTTTTTGAACCTTCTGATTGTTGAAATTGACTTGACTCCCCATTAAGCAATACTTTTTGTTCGTCGTTAAGGATGCATTCATCAGGAGGAGAAGGTGGTGGTGAAATAAGTGGTGTTGCAATAGAAAGTGAATTACAACAAGAAGACATTTATTTTTCGTAGAAAGTTAGTTGCAAATTTATATAAAAATTTTTTTTTTAAAAAAAAGAATGATAGTTTGCGCGTTTATATAAAAAAGAAAGGACCAAAGTATTCAAAATAATTTAAATAATTTAAAATAATTTAAAATAATTAAAATAATTAAAATAATTCAAAATTATTCCAAAGAATTCTGAATAATCAAAAGTAATCAAAAGTAATCCAAAGTAATCCAAAGCAATCTAAAAGAATGTTTCATAAACCAATTCTCAAGATAAATAAAAGAGAAACAAGTTTGTATTTATTATTGAAACCGGAGTATATGTATGAAAATC